ACCTTAAACACTTAAAGCTGTAAGCTAATGATAGTTATATAAGAGCAGATGCATGCTGGTGCAATAAGCTGTACGTTTTACATCCAATAGATGCATGATCTGATTAGTCAACTAATTGCAAAAATAATTGGTGACTAGTCGACTATCAAAATAATCGTTTGTGGCAGCCCTAGTTCAGAGTAGAGCTGCTGCTCCTGCACACAGAAAGGAGCCAGTTTAGGTGTAAGGTAAAGGTGTTTCCTCTCTTACCGGGAGACGGTCCGGGGTAAACCCAGAACACTCTCAAGAGATTACATCTATTGGCTGACCTGGGAACGACTCGATATTTCTCAGTATAGGCTGGAGGAGGTGGCTGCAGAGAGGGATGTCTGGGCTTCCCTGCTTAGACTCCTGCCCCTGCAACTTCAGATAGGCAGAATAAAATTGCTGGATGATTTATTTATTTTACTATTTTAGATATTCTTTTTTTTTTCTTAATATCTTGTCCTGTCTTATTCCTGTGTTATTTCACATATTACGTTATATATGGTATAGTATGACGATGTCTAAGGCAAGACTGGCAAGAGAGGGGAAAAAAAGAGGAGAAAGTGGTGTGGGACAAAAAGAGACAAAAAACCCCAAAACAAAGTGGGTGTGGGAATGCCTGTGTCTTTGTAACAAATGCTGCACCAAACAAGCAGAACGGAGTCAAAATGCACCGCAAGCCGCCTGTTGACTTCCGTCCCACGCAGGCCGTGGATTTTTTTTTTGTTTGTTTGTTTTGTTGTTTTGTTTTTTAAGGGATACGGGAAGATGTCCCTCCTCCTCACTTAGTGTTTAAGGTGCTATGGTGTTAGATTTTAACTTTTATTGAAGTAGTTGTTATGAATTTCTGAACAGCACGCATCGTCCAGAATAGACAGGAACACTGTGCCACGGTTTTCAGTTGCAATTCATTAGATTTTCAAATGTTAATTTGTCATAGTTTAATAATACGCGAACATCTTTTATAGTAGGTTTATATTATAACATTTAATATTTATTTATTTAACATCGGTTTATTTTCGTCTTCGTTTTCTGTTTGGAGTGTAATGTGGTCAGTATGCACAATGTGAGGTCCTGCACGGTTAAGCAGCATGATTCATAATTGAAGAATGTGATTAATGTTTTCAAATGCCTTTGTTTACAGAGTTTTTGTCATTGGCGTTAAACGGTTCTCAAATTTAACTTGATATTTGAGTGTCTTAGTTTTACAGTTTTTTGTTTTGTTTTGTTTCTCAAGTGATTTTTATTTTTTTCTCTCCCTCGTTTAGCTGACTAAAAAATTGGCCATGAGGAAAATCTTTTCAACTATTTACCTTCACAACTGCAGTCAACCAAATTTGAATTTCTGTTACCTACCAGGAATTTAGCTTGTTAATACAATACAGTTTTATTTATATAGCACATTTAAAAACCCAAAGGCACACCAAAGTGCTTCCCCATTATACAGAGAATCAACATAAATCAATTAACAAAGTACAGATTGGGCACTAGCACAGATAGAAGGCATGCACCAATAGACCAGAAGAGTTAAGTAAAATAGGTATCGAACCTCAATTCAGGAGGAAGGTCAGTCCATGAATACAAAATATCAACTAAGAAGTTAAAAACCAGCAATAAAATTATTTATAAGTTTAATAAGGGTATTAAGTGGTCAGGAAAGCCAGGTTAAATAAGTAAGCTTTCAATCTTGATTTGAAGGATTGAATAGAGTCTGTGGCACGAATAGAAGCAGGGAGGCTATTCCAAAGTTTAGGTACAGCTGAAGCAAAGGCACAATCACCTCTGGTCTTCAGCCTAAACTTAGGTTGGGCCACGAGTAATTGACCTGATGGTCTTAAAGCTCAGCAAGGAGTGTACAGATTGAGGAGATCATCCACAGATATAGTTATTCTTGTCTCAGAATAATGAAAATCTATCCCCCTCTGCTTATAGATCTCAACAACAACAGATGGCCTGGATGCTGACCTGTGGAAAGACGGACTTTTCAAATCCAAGGTGACCCGATACCTTTGCTTCACCAGAGTTTTCTCTAAAGAAAATGTAAGTTTACTTACCTCCTCAACAGTTAAATAAGTGTCCCACCCCCTCTCCAATAAACATCTTCCACCCCCTCTCCAATAAACGTCTCCTTTCTCAATACCATATTCTTGTACTCTATTCTTTCCTCTGCAGAGCCATTTAGGTAATGTTCTTGTGGACATGAAGCTGATTGATATAAAGGACACTTTGCCTGTGGGCTTCATCCCAATCCAGGAAACTGTTGATACTCGTAAGTTATTATCTCAAGTGGAAAGACACTTAGAGCCTCAATGTGTGGTAAGAATATGTGAAAATAATTAATCTTTTTAACCTCTGAAATAAGAATTGTTTGTTATTCATGAACCACCTTGTTGTGGAATGACCGTCAGTTTGTCTTTTCTGCAACAGAGGAGCAGGCCTTCAGGAAGAGGCGACTCTGCATCAAATTTATTCCACGGGACTCCACAGAGGCAGCCATCTGTGATATCCGCATCCTGGGACGCTCCAAGCAGGCACCTCCTCAGTATACCTTTATAGGGTGAGCATTGCAACTTCCAGTCAAATTTAACTTTTTTTTTTTTTTTTTTAAACAGAAGAAAATAGTTTATAAATAAATAAAGTTGTTTGTACTGTAATGGAATCACTCCATTTGGCATAACAGTTTCACCTTACTCCAGAAATCAAGTCACATTAATCTTTTTTACATTTTTAATGAATGATGGAATGTTCAGGGCATTTCTATCAGAAAGTTTTCTACATGAAAAGACACTTCCAGTATGTCAGATGTGTTCCACATGAGAGCTAAAGAATCCAAAGCATTTCTGGCAAAATGTTAATTAAAAAAAACCTTTGTCCCCAAAACATTTCTAGAATAATTGCTTAGAGAATGTATGAAGGGGAAAGGAGGGCATGGATTTAATACACACACGTTTTGACTAGCAGGTTTACATTAACCTTGGAACTGGTGTCAGCACTTTCTGCTTAATAATGCTTCTAACGTTGTTTGACAGAGAGCTCAACAACATGGGAATCTGGTATCGCATGGGAAATGTGCCTCGGGCCCAGGACTCCACACACACACAAACCATCAACAACACCCAGAATGTGAATTCCTCCAGCTCAGGATCAGCCCCACCAGCTCCCATGCCTAAGTAAATTCACTCTAATGATGTGCTAGTACTTGTATGTAATTGTCTTCACTTGTATCTCTTATTAGTTCTAGTAACCTTAAAAGAGAAATACAACACAAAACAAAGCAAGTGCACTGTAACAATACAGGTTGCACAGATTAGCACTTTAGTTTATCTTGGTATTGCCTAGAGGTTATGGAATGTACATGCAAGTAGTGATTCATTCGCTTGTGAGTGCCCCAACACATAGAGAAGATGTATCTTCAGATGTCACAAAAATTGTTATGATGATATGTTTAAATTAACAGTGGATATTTATTTTTACACCTTTGAATGAATCAGTGGAGGAACTTCCTTAACTTTCTTGTCATCTTCCTATTTCAATTGTTCCAGATCGTATGCCTCCATGTCCATATTACCAAATCCAATAAACATCTGTGGTCTTTCTCTTTTTCTCCTCCCTGGCAGCTCCATACTCGGCATCCTTTTTCCACTATACCTCATCTGCACATCTCCAGACCAACTTAGCCTTGCCTCTTTTATTTTGTCTCAAACTCCTTCAACCCAAGTTGTCCATTTGGAGCGATTTAATTAAACTTTTATAGAAAATGTGCTTAAGAGTTCAAATAATAAAATAATGAGTAACATCATTTCTTTTAATATTAATGGAACAATTGAGAATTGAGCAGAGCACTTTACAGATTTAAAAAGGATTTTTTTTCTCTCTCAGATCTTGCACAACAATATATATAAAAGAAATCCCCTCTTGCCCCTGCGGGCAGTCTGTCCTTTAAGCTCAGGTCCTCTACCAGAGGCTTGAGGGTCCTGCGCAATATCTTCATTTCAAGCGCTTCTCTGAGTCCTTGGTACTTCTCTAGCTTCTCGTGTTCCTTCTTCCTGATGTAGCTGTCATTCGGTATCGCTACATCTATCACTACGGCTGTCTTCCTCTGCTTGTCCAACACTACTATGTCTGATTGGTTACCCACCACTATTTTGTTCGTCTGTATCTGGAATTCCAGGATCTTGGCTCGGTCATTCTTGACCATCCTAGGGGGCGTCTCCCATTTATACCTCGAGACTTCCAGGTACTCGGTTCAGATGTTTCTGTATACTAATGCCGGCCACTTGGTTATGGCGTTCCATTTATGCCCTGCCTGCCAGCATCTTGCACCCTGCTGTTATATGCTGGATTTCTCCGAGGCATCTTTACACAGCCTGCACCTGGGATCTTGCCTGATGTGATAGACCGCAGCCTCCATGGATCTTGTCCTCAGAGCTTGTTCCTGTGTTTCCATGATTAGTGCCTCTGTGGTGTGTTTTTGTCCAGCCACTAGTAGGATTTGTGGACGTCAGCCGCTTCATCTATCGATTGATTGATCACAGCAGAAACCCGTGAAAGAGGAGGAGCCACTATCAAAAATATATATATTTCAGCTTCTGTAGCAAAGATAATTTTCAAATTAAGTACATTATAACAATGTATAAATAAGTACTCTAGGATGAAGAGAAATTACCCAACAAGCCATAGTCAAAAATTTGGATACAGCTCTAATGTACAACCCAACTTCCTTTGCTTAGCTGTGCAATTTGACAGTCCAGGATTAGTTCCAGCTGACACAGCAGGAGTGGATAGTGATAGTTTCTTTAAAATCTTGAGCTGTTTGGCTCACTTTCACATATATTGAACTACTGAGGTGCTTAATGTTTTTTTTTTTTTTTTCTTTTTGTTTCAAGGCATATTTCCATGACCCTCCCTGCCAGCTTCAGAGGAAAAAATACTACCAGACCAGACTATGAGCACCAGAACTCCAACTTGTATGCTATTACAGGTCAGGTCTTTACAGTTTCAGTCGCCCTTGTTGATTTAAAGATGAATACACACACAC